AGCAGAACGAAACAAGCATGGAAGTCCTACCAACAGAATAAGACGCCCGATAAATTTTCTCAGTGTAGAAATGAGGCAAAAGCAGCTAAGAGGAATTCGGGAAAAGGCTTGATTAAAATTACAGAGAAAAAAAAATTGCCACACCGTGGAATTGTTAAAGGAGAAAAGAGCAAACCTAGTGAGAAATGTAAAAGACAGTAATAGTGAAATACTTACAGAACAAGGCAAAATATTAGATAGAAGGCTTGAGCTAGGAACTACTTAGATCTCTTACTCTGGTAATGAAGAAAAAGCTAGAGAACAAAGGGAACAGACGCTCTACGAAATCATTGAAGAAGTCATTAATGAAGTGGAAGTGGAATTGGCTCTTGAGCAGATGAAGACAGTCAAGGCGGCAGTCAGAGACAGCATTGTTCCCGAGATCTTGAAATACAGCGGACATGACCTCATTAAAGCGCTGCAAGGGCTATTTCAGACTGTTTGAGATACAAAGACAATTTCGAAAGATTGGGAATACAGCGTGATTATTCCAATCCACAAAAAAAGACAATAAACAGAGTGAGTTAATTACAGATTAATTAGTCTCTTGTCTGTGGCCTACAAAACATTCACATACATTTTGTAAAAAAGTTACGACGAATTGTGGAGGAGCAGCTGAAGAGGAACAGGCAGGTTTCCGCCCTGTGGGGCTGACCGAGGATTATATCTTTGTCGTACGGTATATATATTTGAAAAAGCATTGGACAGATAAAGGAGTACGTACCTAACATTCCTGGATCTTAAAGGCTACCTTCGACTTGGTCCTGCGGAAAGAAATATGGAACGCTCTAGCTTCTAAAAATGTTTCAAGAGATCTCATTATTGCCATAACATCTGTTATGCAAATTCAAAAGGAGTAGTAAAGAACAACGGAACAGAGTCTGATCCTTTTCCAATTGAAATAAGTATCAAAATCAGGGGGATAGTTTGAGTCCACTCTTGTTTACTGTATTTATGGATGAAATCAATAAAAATTGTAAAAGATGAAGAGCCTAAACCATCATCAGTAAGTGTTACATGAGAAGGATACTCAGTCTTTCTTTTATGCAGATGATATCGTTCTCATTTGTGAGGCGGAAGAAAGTCCAACAAGTCTTGCGGGAATGACAGAAGGAACTTAAGCGATAAGGGGTGCTCATCAATGCTTCTAAGATTAAGGTGCTGGTCCTTTCCTGAGACGAGGAGGAGACAGTGGAGGTGGACTGTAATGGTGTAATTCTTGATTGTTGGCCATCGAGATGTGGGGCACAAAATCAAGCTTTATACCTACAAGTCAATATACCTCCCGATCCTTACCTACGGAAGCGAGAACTGGGTCATGCTGGACAAGCAAATAAGCGGATTCACAGGAGCTGAAATGAGGTACCTACAAAGAGACGTAGGAAAAACAAGAAGAGACAGTGTAAGAAATGAAAGGATTAGGGAGGAGCTAAAAATTCCTACACTAAAATCCACCCTTCAAAAAAGCTCAAGTGTTTCGCTCATGTTTGTCAAATGAGTGAGGTCCGAAAATCCAGAAAGCTTATGGAAGCTCGAGCTACTAGCAAGAGGCCACGTGGAATGCCTAGAATTTTATATGATGAATATATTCAAAGGATTGGAGTATAAACTCTCCAACATGTAACTAGAGATGGGCAGGTAAATCGTAAATCGAATCAAAGAGTCGATTCATATGAAAGAATTGTACTATCAAGCAATTCACAATCACGATTCACTCGGAATCGGTCGATTCAATAGGTATTATTATTATTATTATTAAAAACGTACAAGAAGAGAAAACAAGTACAAAAGGGGGAAAACAATATATACATATGTTTGTGCAATGATAGTGCCAATAGTCTCGTTGCGGCGAGTGGTGGGGGCAGATCAGATAAGATCTGAACGATAAAAGTTAATCCGTATCAGCTCCCGGTACGACTGGCCATACCAACTCCGAACTAGCCAGAGGGCGTCCTCAGCTAATGACGTCTGTATCAGCATAAAAATGCTAAGCTGTTTTTGTACAATTCGTATAACCTACCAATTCATTAAAATACAGTCCACTGCCTAAATAAGTAAAATGTTGCCAACAATTTGAATGTTGCCTATTAAGAACTCATGAGAGTTATTTACCTTGCCTTAATTAAAATTTGGAAAGTTGCCTAAACAAAATTGAAATGTTAAATTAAATATTTACATAATGATAGGTAATTAAAAATAAATGTACAGGAGAGAAAAAAACTGTACAAATATATAAAGAAAACAAACAGAGAGAAAAGAAAATAAACAAAATACTAATATAAATAATAGTTCCGCAGCCAGGGCCCAAAAGTCGACCTCTTCGCAGACGAAGGTTTATGTTATTATTAGTAAAATATACCTTGTCTGCCATTCCAGAGCCGCTGCTTTAAAAAATGGCGGCTGATTTAAAGAATATAAAGCTAGTAACTTGAGGATCGAAATGGGAAAATATAAATATCTGAAATGCGAAATGTTAAATTAAATATTTATATAATAATAGTTAGTTAATAATAAATTCACAAGAGAGAAAAAACTGTACACATATATAAATGAAACAAACAAAGAGAAAAAATAAAACAAAATAGTGATGTAATTAAGCCAAGGTTATAAATTTCTGAATTGCGGAATGCAAGTAAAAGAGTAGATTCGGAAAGTAAACAAAATAACTCAGCGAACAATGCAATAAGGTTGGAAGGTTTCCTAGAACAAACTTGATGAATTGATGCAGTCGATTCACTGATTCAATGGGAATCGGCGATTCTCAATTCCTTAAGAATCAGCTATTCCCAATTCCTCAGGAATCGGCGATTCTTGATTCCTTTAAGGGATCTGTGATTCCCAATTCCTTAGGAATCGGCCGATTCCCGATTCACGAGATCGGCCAATTCAGCAGTTTTTTTCTAGGAAATCTTTCACTCGTTTTCCATTGTTTGTTGGGTTTACTTTCCGAATTTATTCTTCTACGATCATTTCGTACCAAGACATTTATAACCTAAACTTATTTACATTATTATTTCGTTTGAGTAAATTTTATTCTGAAACGTTTATTCTCCTAAGAATAACAAACATGAACAATGATAATTACATTATGACATAGATTTTTCTGGCATATAATGGCTGGCAAATATTAATTAGGTTAAAAAGTTGTATAACACTAAAATAAGAATAAAGTTTTACTCTAAATATACAAATAACATGATGAATTTAGAGGTAAATAGATGACCGTTTGTTTACATATTTGCATGCTAAGCAATATATATAATAACTGTGAATTGACAAAAGAAAAAGATTAGTAAAATATTTAATCCTTATTAATATTAGGAAAATTAATGGCTTATGAGATGGAAAAACAATTGGTTTTTAAATGGAGTCACTGATAAGATTTTACGTAAGGAAGTGGGCAAGGAATCCCAAAACAAGACAGCACGTCTTGTTAATAACTTGTCTTAAGTAACCTCTTCTTTATTATAAGTTGTTGTCTACCGTCCTCCTCGTGTTCCATTCGACCATCTCTTTGAATCCTCCATTATCAACATCGTTTCCTCTTATTCCAATGTCATCATCTCAGGTGGTTTTAATGTAAATATGCTCTCAGAATCTCCTAAAAAATACTTCCTTAATGATCTTATATTTTCCCGTAATCTCTATCTGATTCTTTATTCTCCCACTCATCGCATGCAGTTTTCCAAAAAATGGTTAGACCTCTACATCTCTGACTCTCCCGTCAAAATCCTTTCCTATTTTCAATATCTCATTCCATTTCTTTCTTCACATGATCTAATCCAAATCACATACAACTTACCCGTGAAATCCTGTACTCGAAAAATGGTTTTATACAGCAATTTAAACCTCCTCTCCTATGAATCCCTTCAACCGAATGGGGTATCATATATTTTTATAAGTCCATTGAACCTATGTTATCAACCCTTTCCTCAAACCTAAAATCCATATAAGACGCCCATGCTCCTCTGAAAACTAGAACCTTACGCCGTGCCACTGCTCCATTGCTGACTCCTGAAATAAAGGAAATGATAAAAATAAGGGATGTAGCAAGGCGCTATTACCGCCGAACCCGTCTAACTATTGATTATTCATCTTTCAAAGAACTTCGCAATAGTACTCAATCCGACTAGCTAAAGCCACCTACTTCCATAATGCCCTTTCTAATGCTCCTGAATCCAAATCCAAATGGAAACCACCCCTTAATCTATCCCTACCAGAATCCAATAATCTCAGTTCCTTCCCCGTGACTCCAGATGATCTCAATGACCACTTCTTATCCTTCTCCTCTAATCCTTCTCCCACTTACGATATTGAGCATCACAATTTTAATCCGGAAAACCTTTTTTCTCCCACGTGTCCTAGGATGAACTATTCTTCGCTATCCTAAAATCTCATACCAATGATTATGGCCCTGATAATATTCCAGTAAAACTTATAAAATCCAGCCTTCCCGTCCTTATTCCCGTATTTTACTATATCTACAACTTTTCATTGCAAAACTCCATATTCCTATCTTCCTGGAAAGCTGCCCTATTGTTATTTATAGTGAAACGTCGAGTTAGGAAGACAAATAAACTATTTACCGACGGAAGAGGCACCTTCTTTTATAAAAACTCAAGATAACTTACAAATCTTCCTCATACATAAAAAAGTAAATGGATAAGCCATTTCCAGGATTCAATTATAAAGTCAATAATTCGTTACAATGCGCATCAAACATTGTTGTTATCGGTTCGTTATTTTATTTGTTTTAGTTTGTATTTACAATATTAATGTCGTTAATGAAGTTAGGGTATTTATGAGATCCTTGAATTTGATTGTCCTAGATATTAGTTCCGTGAATATTTACAACATGCGCAGTGCAACCTCTTCCTTATAACCTTACTTTGGAGTCTATCTTGGAAATTTTAGTTGTTAAACAGTATTATACCTCTCATAATAATCGATGTTTAGTATCAGGTATTTTCAGGTTGATTCTAGGCGGTTGGAAAAGAACTTAAGATTATTGTTAAAGTATTTGTTTTATAGTGATATTGACATAATTTAAAGTGTGCATTTAAGTAAGTCTTATGATATTATCTTTATTGTATATGTAAGTGGTTTGTTATGCTATGGCATAAAACAAGTGAATTGACATTTGTTTTTAAAAATTCGTTGCTCATTTGTTTTTCTCTTTTGATGGTCAGTTTGTAATTGTTAATTGCCATTGATGCTATTATTTTTCAAGCCCAATGATATTGAAATTACCTACACTATATATGTAAAAACAGTGTAAGAATGTTCAAAGTTAAAGATAGGTATACTTTAATGTTTATTTATACAGTTAATGTTTTGAACTAATTGATTAGAGAGATGATATTTAAATTTAACAGTGATCCCTTGTTGCCTTTTTCATTTCTGTTTGAATAAATATTTATTTGATTGTTAGAATTCCTCCTCTTTTTGTACTATTCTGTATAAAGTTCCTGAAGAATTTTGTCATTGCTATATGTTTAATTGTTATGGCCTCTTTAGATTTTTACTGATTATTTTTATATTTAAATTGTGTTGGTTATTATTTTTATAATTGGACAGGGATTATAGAGAAGAGTTGTTTGATTCTTAGGCAGGTTAATTTTGAAGTAAAAATTTAGTATCATTACTTGATTAATTGGTACTAGTGTATAATTGTTGCTGCTACACTTGGCACAAGATCTCTTAATTACACCATTAAAGGAATCTCTAGAATGGCTGAGTGTGTTCGTAAGGAATCTGGAGTGACCGAACTGTATGGTAAGTTTCTAAAATCTACTGATAAGGCCCTTTAGGGATTAATGTTTTTTTGAGAAAGCGGAAGTCAAATGCAGCAGTGTAATGAATAGCCCTTAGTGTAGGCCCAAGGACCTAAATTGACTGATAAGAAGTGGCATTTGTAAGTTTGTGGAAGTCAGAAATTGTGATCTAGAGGGAGTTTGTGTCATTAACACATCAATCTCTATTATATTGTGATCGTGAGATCTTGGTTTACTGGTCAAAGTGGAACAACACCTGTACATTAGAATAAATTTTTTTTTTAAATTGCTGAGCGTCTTGTAGTAAAAAAAAGTTTAATAGTCTTCTAATTTGTCTTTTCACTAACTGCAGTGGTGACTAAAAAGGCAATAATTACTGATATCTTCAGTTATTGTTGAGTTTTACAGGGCTTGTCACATTTTACTTAAATATGTTTGCCCTTTCTATGAGGGTCTATTCTTATAGATAGGTTATTATGCCTCCTTAGGCATTCCTTGTTTTTAACTTCATAAGCATTATTCAACTTTGATAGATGGACACAACATCTAAAAATGGAATTCTGGGAATGACCAGGTTTGCCGGCAAGGCCCCCGACCTTGACTCATTAATTGGAATCTAAATGAAGGGAAGTTATACCATTCAACATTGTGTCAGTACTTAGCTATTCTTGGAATTCCCTTTGTTGTAAAGTCATAAGTCCTTATATTCACTTAACAAAGTGGAGCAACAGTTGTGTAGTAGCTCTCTTATTATCTTTCTGCTCATAAAATCTTGGAGTAGGTTATGGGTTTATTATTATAGATGAAACTAAGAAAGTTAATCTTCTCTTCATAAAGTTTCTTTTTGAATTTGTACAGTATACCTCATAACCATGAGCTACCGCAGATTCTTTTGAACTATCAATAATTTAATATAAGGCTATCACTTCACAAGTAACTCTAATACAATTGTTAGGTAAAATATAGCATGATCACATTAAATTCTGAATATAACCGCAAGTTTACAGGTTTTAACTCCCTTTATTTAGATCGTGACTATCTACTTCAGCTCACAACAAAAGAGATAAACAAACCCCCAATGGATCCTTTTCAGTTTATATCAGGGCCTTTAAGCAGCTAATTAAAGCCAAGTCTTGTTTTCCATAAAATTATGAATTATTTACAATGTTTTTACTTTCACTTACCTATATATGTAATATATAGTAAGGGAAAGTATTGCGATCGTGAAAATTTTTGAATCTGAGGTTTCAATGGAAATACGTTGAGGTACCCTGAGTCCAAATAACCAATTCCCGCAGATTGGTCTGTGTGTGTGTATGTTAGCAGTTTAGCTAGAAAACAAATAATCATATGAAACTGATATTATGTATTTAAGATAGGTATATGTCTTAGATGTGACAGCAACTTTTTCCTTAAAATCACTGAAAGTGCCATTTTATGTCAATGCTGAAACACATTTTTACAATTTTCTCAGAAACGGCTCTAACGATTTTGATTAAACTTGGTGTATCATTGTATAATTAAGTGGTCTTTAGTATCAATGAGGTCTTATTCCCATTGATGTCACTTTACAGGGCTTAAATGTTCAATGTTCATATATGTCTTCCTCTAAAATGCCTTTAATATGGTTTATTTTAAATAATTAATCATCTCACATTATTAAAAGTTAAGAAAAAATGTTAACTATAGCTTTTGAAAGAATTTGATAATTGAATAAAGGAGAAAAAAATAAAAATGCTTATACGGGTCCAAAATGAATCTCTGGAAATACTAGTCAGAAGGATACGTATAATATATCGTTGGAAAGCGGAGAATTTCAGAAATGACAATATCTAATATAGAAAGTTGTGGAAGGTGACGAGAGTGATGAAAAAATTATAAATAATAATTTTTGAAAACTAATATTATTTAACCTTAGTCATATGTTTTCAAGGAAATTTAATGAAATTTACCAACTAAATGTAAACTTTTAAAATATTTTTAAGTTTGAAAAAGGTATTTAAAATCCACAGATTCAAGGAATGACACTGTTTAAGGTACTATTTCATTGTACTTGTGTGAAAGAACAAGTGAAATATAAAAATATTTCATGGATATGTTTATAACCTTAAATATATTTACTATAGTTTAATAACTCTAGATCTGATATTATATTTAAATAATTAGGTATTTATCGTCCGTTTATTCCGAAAAATCATCATGTAACCTTTTAGAAAATTAAATTAATTAATGATTTGATGAATTTTCCCTTTGTAATATTCCAACAGTATCCTCTTCCAACTAGTGTGACAATTTTAGACCTGTCTATGAAAGACAATGCAAATTTCTCAATTCCATTTTAGTAAACTTTGCAATGGAAAATAACAGTTTAATAACTAATAGTCGTACATTCCATAATCAACGGATCATACTACCCATAATCAACCAGTGATATAATAAATAGGACTTATGTTATTTTAATGGTATTTATGATTTTTTTAGCTTTAGCTCGCTTAAAAATGCAATTCAAAAATTTTATAATAGCCCAACATGGCCAGAAAATAATTTCTAATCAAAGTTGAGCAGTAAGTGATAGTTGTGTGCATTAATAGTAGGTCCATTAATTTTTATTAATGGACCTACTAGACTACATATAGCATTTCCAAGTCAATTTCAACCTTTTCCAAGTCAAATTCAACCTTTTCCAAATCAAATTAAACTTTTTCCAAGTCAAATTCAACCTTTACCATTTCAAATTAAACCTTTTCCATTTCAAATTCAACCTTTTTTTATTTATTTAACTATCTTTAATTTTTCGATGTGTGGGTCTGTTATCGTATGAGTAGTTTTTGAAAATGAACTCCTTTTTAAGATTACGTGACTGCGTTTCGAATTATTTAAGTTTTTTTGACTTATTTGATATAAGGGTGTATTTTTATGTTTCCCGATCAGTAAATTTAGAAAATGACATTCATTTTATGTTTTCGCCACTGTATTTGATTTATTTAAGTTTTTTTGATTTGTTCGATGTAAGGGTGTATTTTTATGTTTCCGGACCTGTAGATTTTGAAAATGACCTCCATTTTAAGATTAGGCCACCGCGTTTCGACTTATTTGAGTTTTTCGGATATTTTTCATATGAGGGTGTATTTTTATTTTCCCGGAGCTGTAGTTTTTGAAAATGACCTCCATTTTAAGATTACACCACTGCGTTTCACCTTATTTAAGTTTTTTTGATTTATTCGATGTAAGGGTGTATTTTTATGTTTCCGGACCTGTAGATTTTGAAAATGACCTCCATTTTAAGATTAGGCCACCGCGTTTCGACTTATTTGAGTTTTTCGGATATTTTTCATATGAGGGTGTATTTTTATGTTTCCGGAGCTGTAGATTTTGAAAATGACCTCCATTTTAAGATTACACCACTGCGTTTCGACTTATTTAAGTTTTTTTGATTTATTCGATGTAAGGGTGTATTTTTATGTTTCCGGAGCTGTAGATTTTGAAAATGACCTCCATTTTATGATTACGCCGCTGCGTTTTGACTTATTTAAGTTTTTCGAATTTATCCAATATTAAGGTCTACTTTTATGTTTCTTGAGCTGTAGATTTTGAAAATGACTTCCATTTCATGATTACGCCATTGCATTTTGACTTATTTAAGTTTTTCGAATTTATCCAATTTAAAGGTCTACTTTTATGTTTTCGGAACCTTAGATTCTGAAAATGACCTCTATTTTATGATTACGCCACTGCGTTTCAACTTATTTAAGTTTTTAGAATTTAACAAGTATAAAGGTCTAATTTTATGTTTCTGGAGCAGTAGATTTCCCCCATTTTGTAAATGACCCAATTTCAAGTTTATGCCACTGTGTTTTGGATTATAAAAGTTTTTTTTTTTACTTTTTTGATATAAGGATCTACTTATATGTTATCCGAGACGTATTGAAATTTTTCTAATCTTTAATATTTAAATTTATCTAATATTTAAGCTCCATTTTATGATTAAACCGCTGCATCTCGATTAATTAGGCTTCATTTTGGATTTTTTCAATACAAAGTTTCATCAATATGTTTTCGAGTATGAATAAATAAATAAATATTATGAAGCTAAAGTTAAATTAAACACAGAATACAAACTAACAAGCCGAAAAGCAACTGGTAATAAATTTAACCTTCCGTATTCAGATTTTTCAGCTAATTGTTCGAAATCTTATAATTTTGTGACAGGAGACCACAACATTAAAAAAGATAACTAAAATTAAATTAAAAATGAGACAATACATATTTTATTTATTTTGATTAGATAT